TTTTTTGGTATCATAGAGTTACCTTGATATGGATGATTATTTATGCTATAATGAGACTTACATTCTTTCATCCTATATGTTATACCATACTCCCTCCTTGTGCTTGATTTTGTTAATGTCATCGGGGGAGAAAAAGAGACTTGATTGTTTTAGTATCTCTGATTATTTTGGTATCTCTATGCTTTTGGTATCTTAATTCTTACAACATGACCTTTGAACTGATTAGTTGTTGATAATGTAAGAGAAATATCATTTTCCTCAAGGAAGAGTGACTTGAACTTTAGCTCCATATTTATGCTCTTGCTTGACAACCTTGTTTGATCCATGCGCTATTGTGTCTATTATAGTCTTGAGATTGGTATGCTCTTGCTAAAAAATTGAGAATCAGATCATACTCCAATGCTTCTCATATACTCATTAACAATTTGGTCTCTTATTATCATTTTTTGTTTAGGCTTAATTTTCTTATTTTTTTTCTCTGTTTTTTAATTCCATTTTTCAGTACTTAAACATAAGCACAACAACAAATCAAAATACAAATATTTACCTAAAAAAAAAACACCATTCATTTTTTTTACGGCCACACGCCAATCAAAATAAACATAAAAAAAAAAACCTTTATTTTTTTTCGGCCATACGCCGATCTTACTTACTCGCCTCTTCCATCATTTTCTTCTTCTTTTTATCACCTTGGGCGACCCTTGACGCCCCTGCCCTGTGCTTTCGTCAAGAGCAACGACTTCTCGCTGACTATCAAAGGCCAAGGACGACATTGCTCCAAATCGGGCCATGAAGATGGTCTTCCGTTTAAGCACTTTATTTTCGGTCTTCAGTGCGCCTATTTCTGCTCGCATATCCTTGTACATGCTCTGAAGCAGAGAGAGTTGGGCGTTGACCTGATGGAGCTCACTCGTTCTGTTCTGTATTCGCTGAGCCAATTTTATAATTGCAGTCACCGTCTCCATATAGGATGTCAGTGTAAAATGATTGGCTTCAATGTCTGATTGAGTTGTCATTATTTGCTCAATCGACATCATAGGAAGGTTGGAAAGAGTAGGAGCCGGGGCACTTGGCCCAATAGAGCTTATGGGATTGTTCAGGTTCGGAAACAGAGTGAGGAGACAGGATGATGAAGCCATGGTTTAGAGGTGAAAGGTGTAAAAGAAATGAGTTGCGAGGCAACAGAAGAGAATGGTAAAGAAGATCGAAAAGAGTGATGAAAAAGAGATAGAAAATAGTGAGGTGTAGAAGAAGAAGCAGACGAGTGTGATTAAGAAGAGGGCTAAAGAGAAGAGGCTGAAGAGAAGAAGACAAAGAGGAAAAGATAGGCGAGGCGAGCGGCAATTGAGAAGAGCTGCTTTTGTCGGTCAATGACGCAAAAGTGAGGCCGCGTGTCAAACGCGTTTATCGAAGGAAAAAGAGAGACGCGAAAGAGTTGTGTGTGTACGCATATATTTATATATATGTTTTGATTATCTATTTTTTGATGTCATTTATCACTATCGTTTTCCTCCACCTCCTCCAGATTTTGATCCATGATTTTCTTTTGATAATGTCACAGGGGAGAGAAATTATATGATGTTATGTATTATGGTATTATTTTCAATCTAATTTGATGTTATGTATTTATAGTTTGATATCTTAATCTTATATCATGTTGTTGATTAAAGCTTATTTATTACACATGTGCTAACCTATATATTTAGAAATGAATTCAGGGAGCATGACTTGAGAGGGAGTCTTTCTTACTCCCAAATCAAATCAAAACATTATTGTGTGCCATCATCAAAAAGGGAGAGATTGCTAGGCTTATTTATGTTGATAATTTATTTAATTATGTTTTAATTTATTTGAAAGAGAAAAATAGAATTTAAAATTTATTTTGATGATTTATTTAATTATATTTTAATAGAATGTGTATGCATAAAAGGAAAAAGAGAGACGCGGGAGAGTTGTATGTGTATGCATATATGTATATATATGTTTTGATTATCTATTTTTTGATGCCATTTATCACTATCATTTTTCTCCTCCTCCTCCTCCAGATTTTGACCCATGATTTCCTTTTGATAATGTCACAGGGGGAGAAATTATATGATGTTATGTATTATGATATTATTTTCAAACTAATCTGATGGTATGCATTTATAGTTTGATATCTTAATCTTATATCATGTTATTGATTAAAGCTTATTTATTACACATGTGTTAACATATGCATTTAGAAATGAATTCAGGGAGCATGACTTGAGGGGGAGCCTTTCTTACTCCCAAATCAAATCAAAACATCATTGTGTGCCATCAACAAAAAGGGGGAGATTGTTATACTTATTTATTTTGATGATTTATTTAATTATATTTTAATTTATTTGAAAGAAAAAAATAGAATCCAAAATATATTTTGATGATTTATTTAATTATATTTTAATATAATCAAAATTTATTTTGATGATTTATTTGAAAGAGAAAAATAGAATCAAAATTTATTTTGATGATTTATTTGAAAGTGAAAAATAGAATCAAAATTTATTTTGTCCCATTATTTCTCACCTAAACCTTTATCCTAAATGTTATTAGAATGTATTTAATATTTGATTAAATCAGGAGTTCAAACAGCCCAAAACAGAGGTTCAAACAACCCAAAAACAGAGGTTCAAACAACCCAGCACAGCAGCAGTTCAAAAGGTTCAAGTGGAAGAAACTCAAATTTGTAATGATGGAGTGAATGATATTCAAATTAGTAATGATGGAGTACAACGGCTATAAACGGTTATAAATTCAAATGAATACAACGGCTATAAACGGCTATAAGTTTCATTATATATACCAAAGCCTCTAATGTAAACAAGTTACAAAAAATCAGAAAATATTCTTTAATCTATAATTACTTACATCTATTCTCTGAAAAATTCTCTGAGAAGTGTTCTTCAGTTTTTGTTTACATCCTCTCTCATAAATTATACACTGAGCCTTATAGCATTAAGCTCATCTTTCCTGTGTGAGATTTACAAAAAATCAAAACTTCATTTTATATATCTATCTTTGAGAGATATTTATTGTAAACTTTCTTTAAAAGTAAAAATACCATTTCATCTTGTAAAAGTGTTGCAAACACTGTATTCTTGAAATCTTGAGAGTGATTGTGAATCACCTAAGATTTGCAAGGGTTTGAGCTTGTGAAGTCTGTGTAAAATCCATGGAGGATTGCTCCATTTGTAAAAAGGTTGCTGGCACCCCTGTGAAGGTAGAAAATAGTGGAAAATCTCAACTGAAGCTTGATGAGTGGATGTAGGCTTGGTTGAAACTGAACCACTATAAATTTGTTTTTCTCCTTTTCCCTAATCTCTTTACTTTTCTACTACTGTTATAGCTATCTAATATTCATGTGTTAATCATTTGATTTACCCTGTATGTTAGTTATACTTCATTATTATTTTGCTTGATCATTTACTGCTAAGTTCGTTATTATGCTAGTTAATAATTTGTTGTACTAGTAGTTAATTTTATTGGGGTATTATTAATTTTAATTTGTAGAAACCTAATTCATCCCCCCTTTTAGGTTGCTTTTTGGGTAACATTTTTATAACCTATCCACTAGATGTTTTGCTCCCTACTATTCCCTAACTAACTCAGTTATTATTTATTTAACTCATTTAGTTTTCATAATTGTATTTAGATACAAAAATTTAATCACAGAAATATAATTAAATTTATTTAAATGAGTTTAATATTAGTATTAATCATGATACTATTAACATTATAATTTAATAATTTAATAATCGCTATTAATTGACTTAATTTTATTATTAACAAATTAATTAGTTATTTAAAAATTTAGATTCTTACATCGCTACCACTACCATTACTATTACCACTATCATAACCGCTACCACCGCCCCTATACCCTCACCACCACCACAACCACCACCACCATTACAATATAAAAATCAAAATATAAAATTTCAAAATAATAAATTTTAAATTTGATTTCATATATATTAAACAATTTATTTTTAATTCAGTACTTAAATTTTTTTCAAACAGTTTTTCAGCTTAAAAAATTTAGCATTCAATTTTGAATACTTTTTTCAAATACTACCTTACTTTCCATAGAAATAGATTAAAGTACCTCTTGTATTTCCAGAATACAACTTTCGAAGTTCCATAACATTGCTCAATTAATCAATTACATTTTCCATTTTGCTTTGAATTCTAGTTCTATTGCATTGGTTCTTACCAAAACACAACCAGTAAAGTCTTCTTCATTAAGGCTAAAAAAAAGCTAATCACATAATCTCTTGATAAGTGAATTGACTTATAAAATTCTGTAAGGACTTTTCAGGTGCTTACTAGCACGCAATAGATTATATTTTTCACTTTCAAAGTGTCAATATAGCCCACATAAGCATAAGAGTAGAGGTAGTGATGATGGGTGAGATCATAATCACCTTGTTTGGTTTACATTAAATTGGTGAAAATTGAATTTTTTATTTTTTGTATTTTGTTATATTTAGTGAATTTTTTTTGATAATTTAAGTAAATTTTTTACTTTTTGGAAACACGTAGGCCTCGTTTGGCAAGTGGCAGTTACTAAAAAAACTAAAAAGCCAACGGCTCATATTAAAAAGTCAAAAATTTTATTTTTCTCTCTATTTTTTTGTACATCTTTTCGTAAAAAGTTAAAAAATCATCCTAAACATATTACTTTTTCTTACATCACATTTTAGCTAAAAAATTAAAAAGTTACTAAAAAAAGTCAGTTCCAAAACGAGACCTTAATTTAGATTACCTTAAAAAGTATAATATTGAATTAACAAAAAAAAAAATCAATTTTTTAATCTAGATACAAAAATAATTTTAATTTTCAGAAAATCAATAAAAAAAATTCAATTGAAAAAGTTCGTCGGACCGTCTAGTTTTGGCGGGAATCTGACCGGGTCAGGCCGGGCCGGACCGTTTATATTCTACGTGTAAGGTAGAGCAATATACATATACAGATAGACAAACATGTGTATTCATTTTTAAAAACCCTAGACCCGATCTCATGCAAAAATTGCTTTCCAATCGCACCCACTTTCCACAAATACATACGTAACAATTGGTTAGGGTTTGAGAGCGAATCGAATCGAATTGATTAGAGTGATGTTTAGGGTTTCATAGGAGGACGATAATGGTCAATTCAGTTGTGGTTTGTTTGTGTTGTATGGGCGAAGAATGCCGGATTTGCGGAGAGGAGTAGGTGTAGCCCCCCGTACACAGAAGAAATCGGAGGTAGTAGTTGGGAATTACATCAAGACTCGGGCAGCGGTAGCAAAAGCCAAGGCCAAGGCCAAGGCCAGGGCGGCACTAGCAGCAGGAGCAGCAGCAGCGGCAAAGAAGCGGAAGGAGGTGCAGTTGGCTCTGATTTCGGAGGAGGATAACAAGGTTGCTGAAGAGGGTGGGTCTTTTCCTAGGAGTGGAGGCAGAGTAAGAGGAGGTGGTGGTGCTGAGACTATGGGGGATGAAAGTGGTGGTTTAAGTGCTAATAAAGTTACTGGCCAGGAAGAAGAGGGTAGCACAGCTCCTTTCCCCGAGACGGTATGTAATGCGTATATATATGGATTGTGCTTATATATATATATATATATATATTAGATTTGATTCGTATAAGATGTTACAATGAAACCCAATAAATTATAATCATAAAAAAACTCCCAAACTCCCAAAGTGGGAAAGAAATTTCAATTAATATACATATGCAGGTAGGGATATTCGAACTACTGTACTGACCTTCTAGTGTGTTTATATATATATATATATATTTTAGATTTGATTCATATAAGATATTACAATGAAGCCCAATGAATTATAATCATAAAAAAAACTCCCAATCTCCCAAAGTGGGAAAGAAATTCCTAATTAATATATGGGGAATAAGACCCCCGTGCAGGTAGGGATATTCGAACTACTGTACTGACCTTCTAGTGAGGTGCAGAAGTTTTGGTCTATCAGACTAACCCCGTTGGTTGTGTTTGTTTATATATGGGAGTTTATTTATGTAGGAGGAGTACATGTTTACGAATGAATGACTGCTTGTTTTGTTTATATATGGGAATATACAGTTTGTGTATTTTGTTGTTTTATCTCAGGTATTGTCATTGTTGACTAAAAAATTTGGTTTGGATATTTGTTGCTTTTAATATTGCTTGAAAATGAATGTCTTTCCAGTTATATAACTTTTCAAATATCCAATGATGCATTTACGAGAATTTTGTTTATGTATTTTTGCTTTTTGTAGGTTCAAGTGGGCGGGTCACCATTATACAAGATTGAGAGGAAGTTGGGTAAGGGTGGGTTTGGTCAGGTATTTGTTGGTCGCCGTCTTTCAGTCATTTCGGGTGGAAATGACCGCACTACGGGTCCTGGGGCTACGGAGGTAAGGTTATTTAAAGTTCTCATTATGTGAGCAATTAAATTTTATGGTTTTTTCTCCCTTGTTTATTTTATTATTTTTTTTTGGGAGGGGTAATTGTTGTCTTTTTGTGTAATGAGGCTATGAATTTCTTTTGGTGTGTTGTTCTTATATTAGGTAGCTCTGAAATTTGAGCATCGAAATAGCAAAGGCTGTAACTATGGTCCTCCATATGAGTGGCAAGTGTACAAGTAAGGATAACTATTTATTTTGTACAGATGTATGTGATATTAGGATTCTATTTCTGTTGTTTTGAAACTTGTTCTTTTTGTGGATGAACAGCACTCTTGGTGGTAGTCATGGAGTGCCTAGAGTACACTATAAAGGAAAACAAGGAGACTATTATGTAATGGTATGTTAAACAACTTTATGCCCCTTTATACATTGGTTACCATGTAAAAGGTATAAATTTAACTTGTGCATATATTTGTAGGTTATGGACATGCTAGGGCCTAGCTTATGGGATGTATGGAATTCTTCAGGACAGTCGTGAGTATCCCATACTTGATAATTTTCAATAGGCTTTGTTTTTTTGACCTATGCATATTCAATAGGATTTGAATCTTTATCTCTTATGGTGGATAGAATGTTTCGCATTTTGGTAAATTATTATTTTTTTAATCTGTCATAGACTGCTGGTTAGAGGGAATAATATTGCAATCAGTAGATCTATCCCTTCCTTTGACATGGTAGGATGGAAAAATACGATTGATGTAGCAGACCCAAAGAATTGGGATAAGACTTTATAAAGTTGAGGATTACTCCTGTGCTTGCAGGAGATTAAAACTCAAAAACTGACTTAAGGGGCAATTACAAGTTAAGGTTGAACAAAACAAACATAGTTGATGCCCCAAAATTCACCAGTGGGACAGGGAAGAAGGCTGATATGGTGTATATATTGCGTGTGTATTATGAGGCTGTGGCCCAATTCTCACAATTCCACTTTATGTCTAAAATGTGCACCTTAAAAACATGGGTAAACTACCAATAGATCCTAATAGTTGGACTTAATTCCTATAAATTCTTATTGAAAATAAGTCTTGGTAAAATTATCGCTAAAAATAATTTTTTTGTGACAATTTTTTATATATGTCGCTAAAAATTGACAATTGGTGATTTTTTTTTGTCATGATTTTTATAAATTGTCGCTAAAATTTACAATTGGTGACTTTTTTTATGACAAATTTTTTCTATAGGACCTATTAGACAATAAGTCCACTTATTAGGACCTACTAGACAATAAGTCCACTTATTAGGACCTACACGTGAGTATCCCTAAAAACTTGTATGAGATCCTTACAGAGAATTGAAAGTTATGAGTATGGAATTTCCCCTTTAATGTTTATGAAAATGATTTCACTTTGGGTTATAGCAACTCATTTTAATAATTTTATACATCAAAAAGGGTTATAGTATGTGAATCAACATTCATAACTCCAAGTGTTTACTGCCCTAGCTTCGGCAGTGCAGTGCCCTCTAGTTACAGAGCTGGTTTTGTGTATTCACAATGCAAGCTGCTATGTTTTTATGTATTTTACAGGATGGGTTTGATTTCATTATCTTCTTAATATTCACTAAAAATTATCTTCTCGCTATCTTAACATGTTTAATTAGTTGTTTACATTTGTATATTTTTCTTTTTCCTTGGGGTAGGATTTGGTGGGATAAGTCATGTATCTTGTGTTCACTAGTAAAGGAAGCATGTGCGTTGCACGTGAGAGATGGAAAAAAATGCATGCCAAAAATGAAATATATGTTTGAAATAGAAAGTAAGAAACAATATATGTTTGAAATATAAAGTAAGAAATAGAAATGTACATAAAGAAAATGTTAGAAATACAATGAAATTATTACTGTAAAGTAACTACAAATTGGAATTTTTAAGATGGCATATAAATTAATTAATTACGACATAATCCTTACATGTTGCCTTCTCAACTTAAATATTATATTGAGGCAATTCTTATGCTAATATATTAGATATTTTAGGAAATGCTTCTAAAATATTTCATGTGTGCATTATAATGGAACAATTTTAAGAAAAACAAATAAAGAACGAAAACTTAATCATTTAAGTACTCTTTCTTTTAGTAGAATGATTGGTGAAACTATCTATAACCATATATCAAAGGGCATTGCCTCATTTATGTATTTTAATTATGGTGAAATGGTAAGTGCCTAAATCATTGCAGTTTGAATGATGTTATTAAGCATCTCAACCAAAGGTTAGTTTAATAAAATAAAATAAAAAATGAAAACAACACGGATACAAAAGATAACTTGAATATTATGTGAATATAAAATTGTTGGAGAATTTTAGTTATAAAGATAGAAAAATAGTTAAAAATGGGAAAAAATCAACGAAACATTTTATAAGGATAATGATTTGACCCAAATATTTGTTTTAAAAGGTACAATTTGCAATAATTTGTGTATGGTTTTTAAATTTATAGAAAAAAAGTGTAAAAAAATTGATTAAATGTAAGTTAAATTTTTCACCACCACCACCACTGCTTAACACACCACAAATATTGCTCTCTGCAAACAGTAAATTAAAAACCCATTAAATCTCGCCCCCCAAAAAAAAAATGGCAATAATGCCACACATATTTATACAAAATGACATTTATGAAAGGTTGTTTGGTAGCGTTGAAGCATTACTCCATGCTTAGACTTGTCATATTGTCTTTCCAAAAAGAGACACAAAAGTGGTGGGTTACATTATTTTAGCCAATATAATTCTAGTTTTGGCACCACTTAAATTTACCATTAAAGCAAAATATAATTTTTCCATATTTATCAGTTAGAGAAAAATGTTTAGATTTGCAAAAATTCCTCCCACCTTTCATTGGTATATTCATTTCACCCTTCAGTAGTCACTATGATTCATGATCTCTGTTTTACATTCTCTCATCCTCTCTCTCTACTATTCTCTTTGTTGAATCTTTCTCTCTTTATAGACCACCACTCTCGTATATATTTTTCTTCTACTTTCTCTACTCTTCTTTCCTTGCACACTCTCTTTACGGACCATCACTCATCTCTTTATTTTTCTTCTACTCTCTACTCTCTCTTCCACACATCTCTAAAATTCACCATTCATATGAATTAACCCCCAGAGTCAAAATTATTGTAAGGCAATGAATTATTGAAACTATTTTCAATTCTTGACTAACTAATGAAAAAGAAAAAAAAAAGAAAAAAAAAAGACCAAGAGAGAAAAAGAATTACAGTGAAAGGAAGGGAGAAGAAGGTGGTGCGGGTTGGACTGGCCATTATTTTCAAAGATGGCCTCACCGTAGGAATTCAAAGTTTGACTAGGGTTAAAAGAAGTGATCTAGGTTTGTATTGAGAGAACGGGGGATTGTTTAAGATTGTTTGTAAATACTTGTATTGGTGTGGTGCAAGTTCACGGTTTTTAAAACCCATTTAGCAATGTCTTTATGCCTTCTTTTTGCTTTCACGTATCTGGCAGTGTATCTTATTGAATTCCAACCAATGTATCACTTGGAGTTGGGGTTGTTTTTGGAATTATAAAAATGTAGAAAACACTATTGGACTCTTCACTCTTTTTATAGTAGTAGAGATAGATACATGGTGGCATGCCTTTCTATGACTCAGACACACTACTGAATCTTTTGCTGCTCGCACCAGTGTATCGCATATAAGATGGCTTGTTATAATCATTTTGATAGAAAATAGACTTGTTGGCTGGGTATCTTAATCTTTTGCATTAACTTGTCATCTGCACAGGATGTCCTCTGAAATGGTAGCATGTATCGCAGTTGAGTCTTTATCGATCCTAGAGAAGATGCACTCAAGGGGGTATGATTCTATAATTTTGAAGTCTTTTTTTCACTGTATAATTTTACTAGTCAATATCCTAAATTTGTTCCATAAATTATTGATAGGCTTCTTGATGATTTTTTTCTCAAGTACTTCCTAGTTTTGTTTTGCTTTTTTGTTTGTCATATGTTTCCCAACGTAATTGTTGTTCGTATTAGCTATGTGCATGGAGATGTAAAGCCAGAAAACTTTTTACTTGGTCGGCCATCTTCACCGCAAGAGAAGAAGTTGTTTCTTGTTGATTTGGGATTAGGTGCGTGAATTTTTTTCACTATTTAATGTATCATTTTATTTATATACTTTTGTAGTGAGTAGTCTATTTTAACTTATTTTTCAACTAATGAATTGCAGCAACAAAGTGGAGAGATAGCTCCAATAAGCATGTTGACTATGATCAACGTCCTGATATGTTCAGGTATACTATTACTTGTCATCGTGGGTTATTGCTTTGCAAATTTAAGTATTCATCTATCATCTTTATATCTTTATTGCGTGATTTTTCAGAGGAACTGTTCGATATGCTAGCGCTCATGCTCACTTGGGTAGAACTGCCAGTAGAAGAGATGATCTAGAATCTCTTGCGTATACACTCATTTTTCTTCACCGAGGCAGGCTTCCATGGCAAGGGTATCAGGTATGCTGGAGTCCCCATTAGCTACTTCATATCTTTCTGGGAGAGTTTAACCATTGCCAGACTTACTGTATAGATGTAATATTTTTTCTCTCTTATGCCCACATTGCTTTTTCTCTGTTAGGGTGATAATAAATCATTCCTAGTTTGCAAGAAGAAGATGGCAACGTCTCCTGAAATGATGTGCTGCTTCTGCCCTGCACCACTAAAACAATTTCTTGAAATTGTGATTAACTTGAAATTTGATGAAGAGCCTAACTATTCCAAGCTAATCTCCCTGTTTGAGGGACTGATTGGACCAAATCCTGCTATAAGGCCAATAAACACTGATGGTGCTCAAAAGGTGATTCTAGTGATCTTTGAATTTATGACTATGATTCCTTTTCTTGTGCACCTTGCTATTAACAAATCCTGTTTGTGTAATCATTGGTAGATTATATATCAAGTTGGTCAAAAACGAAGTAGATTGAATATTGAGGAGGATGAGGATGGGCTCCCTAAGAAGAAGGTTCGTCTAGGAGTTCCTGCCACACAGTGGATTTCAATTTACAATGCAAGGCAACCTATGAAACAGAGGTAGAATTGTGTTTTATTGTTTATTTTGTATTACTATCACTTACTAGGAAGTTGTTTAAATCTTATTTTTTATTTTCACAATATCAATTTAGTACACTAATGGATGCTATGGCTTGGATAGATTAGAACAAGTTGCTGCTATTCATGTTGCTGGACTAAAGTGGTGGCCTTCAAATTATATGGTTATTATATTGTGAATGTTTTCATGAGGTCCTTTTTTGTGAAATTATTTTTCTATTGCTGTGTTGTCAGTTGTCACTTACCAGAATTCAAATTTCTCTAAGTGGCTTGAATATATATCTCACTAATCCTAGTAGAATTAACATTACTTTATTTTGTGATTGATTATGAGGAGCTGTTGGGATGCTGTCTTTGGTTGAGAACTTGAGAGGCTTCACATGGAAGGATTTTCACCATTGATAATCTCATTAGGAGGAAAAAAGTCTGATCTTTTTGTATTACATTTGTAAAGAAGCAGGGGAGTCTGTTTCAACTTGGTATGTTTTTGTATTGCTAGCCATCTGTGGGCCTTGATTTTGGGGCTTTATGGGGGTTGTCCAGAATGTTAACAGAAGTTATTAGTGGGTGAAAAGGGAGTTTTTTGGTAAGCTAAGCAACAAGAATTGGAATGTTGCTCCTCTTTGATTGATGTGGTGCATTTGGGGACAGAAGCTGATCAAAAAAAAAAAAAAAATGTGGTGTATTTGGGGACAGAAAGGGCACTCTTTTGAAGGCATGGATTATGTGGTTGTGTTAAATAGTTATCATTAAAGATTTTGTTTGATTAGGTTAAAGAGAGGGAGGACCTTTATCTGGAGAGTTCATATATATATACACACACATTTAGTATATACAGGTGACACTTCCTTGATGCCTTTTTGTTTGGTTCATTTGGAAATTTCCTGGAAAGCTAATCTTTGGTTTTTTTTCTCCATTAGAACAATAGGGCCGTTACGCTCATCACTAAACTTGTTGGTGAGTTGAAATATAAGGTTGAATTGATCATCAAAAGAAGAATTAGGCCAAAAATTAGAATACACTCCGCTAAAATAAAACTTCCATGTTACTTATTAAAAATATATGTATTGAACCCAATTCTGGTTGGATTTTGCTTTGTCATGGAAGTCTGTGAAGTCATTGTAGCTTTTACAGTGGTTGTGAAGTTTGCAAGAAGCTGTTTGGCTGTTTTGATGGAATGAATGTCTATTTGAGAAAAGGTGTTTGCAATGCATAGAATTTTAGTCCACCCGATAGTGTAGTTTTAGAACTGATATACTATGAATTTGTTAGTGGGGCTGTTTATTTTGTTGGGCCCGATTATTTTGGTGTGGGTTGCTAGCTTGAGTGCTTCTCTTTGGTTTCTTTGACTTTAGATGATAATTTCAATGATGTTTAATCAGTTGAATGCAGTAGGGGCTTGCTGTTGTTTGGATAAACTCAACAAGCACATTGGCCTTGCTAATTACTATTTATTCGCTGTGATCTGTTTAAGTGTTACGTTACCTACTTACTGACTTTTGTTCTGTTATTAGGTACCACTATAATGTGGCAGATGGAAGACTGGCCCAACATGTGGAGAGAGGAAATGCAGATGGTCTACTCATCAGTTGTGTGGCATCCTGTTCCAATTTATGGGCACTTATTATGGATGCTCGAACTGGTTTCACAAGCCAAGTATATGAGTTATCACCTAACTTCTTACACAAGGTGAATTTTTGTGTTTCGTATTTGTGTTTTGTTTATTGTCTACATACATTGATATCAGAGCTCATTTAACAAGTAGCATATTTGATTTTCTAATTGTAGGAATGGATCATGGAACAATGGGAGAAGAATTATTACATTAGTTCCATTGCTGGCGCTAACAATGGAAGTTCTCTGGTGGTGATGTCCAAAGGTATGTTTGCTTTATATTGTAGTAGTAGTTCTTATTGATGGATGATTCAACTCCATTTTGATGGAAAGATGTGCAACTTGAGTTATGTTTGCCAAATTTTGTTGGGTTCATTTGCCCTTAGTGCTTTAGTGATAGTTGAATGTTGGGTTCTCCAATCGAAGGATAGCCTAGATAATGTTTTAAGTTTTTACACCCTATGCTTATCTATACTTGCATGCTTTAAATCTGTATGTCTCATCTTGTTTATCATTCCATAAAATGTCTTGGTACATGATGTAAGCAACAAATGCTTTCAAGAGAACTGTTGTACATGGAAATGAAGTTTGGGATGTTTCTTACGTGTAAGATGTAAATCAGCCCAACTTAGGTGGGTGGCTGTATGAGAGGTCGATTAGGTGGATTCTTGGTCATGTTTGTTTAGTTTTAGTAAGCCTCAAGCTTTGCCCGAACTTCAAAAAGTGAAGTTTAGATGCTGATGTGTTTGGTGTTCATTGTTTATTGAGAGATTGACTCTTTTGTCATTGTGATAATAAGGAGAGGGCATTAATGTTTTAAGGTTTTATGGTACCCAAATATTATATTCGTGATACATTGACCTGCCAAATCATTTTAAATACAGCAGCCATTGCACAAAGAGTACTGAAATAATGAGCTGAAGAAAATTTATATTGAGTGCAAAAGGTTCTCATGTTTTGATCTTGGATTTTATGCAGATTATGCCAAATACACAATATTTTGAGTATTGACATGTAAGACGTAGCTATATGTGATGCGGAACATGTGCGCTAGAAGTTTGGCATAGAGATTTTTATTTATTTTATAATTTTATGTTTTAATATTTACGTTTATTTATTTTTAATTGTAGTTTAGTTAGGAGGATCTTATTAATAGTTGGTTCTTATTTTTATTAGAGTGTAGTTTCAGATTTTAATTAGGGTTTTAGGGTTCAGGGCTACGGTGCAAAGGTTACTAGAAGAGGGATGAATGAAAAGCTGACGGAAAACTTGTCAGGAATATGGTCTCGTAACATAGGAAATTCATTTGGGACTTGCCGACGTAGTGGATAGATCAAAGAGAAATCTATATCAGTTAGGTCTTCATAAGAAGGGAGAGATTGAAACAAATGACTGTCATATAAGAGACAAATATTAATATGAGGATGATGATAATGGCTGTCAGTTGTGTTTGTGGTTTTTAGAAGGTTGAATTGAATGTTATGTTTATGGATTTTTCTCTACCTGAATGCTACTTTTGTGATCTTTGGAATTCTAGAAATATTTGTTTATGTTGAAAACTTTGCCTATATATTTATTTTATCTTATTTTTGCTTATCTTGTACAACTTGTGCCACAATTAGGCTCCAGGAGACATTAGCACCTCAATGCGCAGCTAGAGCTTTTTAAAACCTTGTTTGTTCCTATTTTTAGTTGCAAAACTAGGTTTACAGTCAATATGTTGATATATCTATTTGCTGAAATGGTTCTTGTCCATTTAAGCACATGTGCATGTAAAACCCCTGTTTAGGTGGAGTTTCTTATGTTGATTGTTGTGCATTAATAAGATGCAGATATTTGATATTAACTGCTGGATGGAACCCTGGGTCTTCCCATAGTTTCTTTGCGTGTGTATGCATTTTTCTTGTGTTGTTCTTTTTGTCTTTGATTTCAAGCTAGTCTTTCAGTTCTGGTTGTTTCAATAATCACTTGCATACGCACTGGTTACCATCTGTCTTGGCCAAATTTTTTTGGTTTCATTTACTAAGCTTTGAGGTTATGATAATATTTTGCAGGCATGCAATATACTCAACAGTCTTATAAAGTAAGTGACTCCTTTCCCTTCAAGTGGATAAACAAGAAGTGGAGAGAAGGGTTTCATGTGACCTCCATGGCAACTGCTGGTAGCCGATGGGCTGTTGTCATGTCTCGCAATACTGGCTTCAGTGATCAGGTTGAGTTCTTGCCTTCACTTATTCCCATCTTTGTTATCTCCTTGCAAAAAACTAGCCTGTTTGGTATTTTTTTTGAAACTTCTCTGTTTTTGAAAAATAAGAAAAATAATACAATGAGAAAACCACATTTAGCATTGTTGAAATCTATTTCTGAAAATATCCTGAAGACAGATTGTTTCTGGAAAACTCCATAAAATCAATTGTGTGGATGATATCAAGGGGTCCTAAGCTCTGTTAACACTTCCAAGTCTGTCTTTAACTACAAGGGCCTCCTGCTAGTTTTGTATTTTCTGGGAAAAGAATGAGGCCTTTTGCCTTTATTTATTTTTATTTTTATTTTGAGTGTGTTAGGTAGGTCTTTTAGTTTTGATTGGGAGTGCATATGTCCTTTCATTTCTTTTTAAGTTCACTTAATGTTTTTTTCCTTGGTTGTTCACTCTCAATTTGAATTATTTAACTGGCTGGGTATGTGGTGGTTCGAGGAGGTTTTTGTGGTCTGTTGAATGTTCAAATGGAGGTTGAAGTAGTAATTTTGAGAGGTTTCTTCAAATATTAGATGGAGGTAGAAGTAAAAAGATTGAGGGTCTTCCTTAAGTTCCTGGTTTATTGTCAATCCTTATGGGAGTTTGCAGAACCAATGACCTCTTGGCAAGTAGCATGGGGGTTTGGTTTAGAGACGCCTAATTTTCAGAGGTTGGAATTTCAAAGCTTATTGGGTCATCTCTATCTCTTGTTTGGATGTTGCACATTCTCTGCAAGGAGTAGCACCTATTCTGTTGTGGTATTTTCATAGAAAATGAAATCAGGACTTGGTAATAGGTCTTAGTGTCTTGGTGAAGTACATATCTTTGTGGTTGAGTTCTGCTGTATCTGTTGTGGCCAACTTTAATCAATCTTCTATTGCCATAGGATTGACTGGGCCCTTGCTGTTAGTTCATCCACGTGATCTGTTAGACACTTGCCCCATACCACTTTTCTAAGTCCTAAGCTTGGTCTATACGTGGCCCTCCACTTATTGCCAATTGGTTTTGGGTTGTATGCCAAAAACAATTCTAACATGGTATTAGAGTTAGGTTTTGGGGGTCCCTTGGGGGCAAAGTATTTGCTTGGGGTCTTCTCTTGTTTTCATCTCTCTATCCTACTATCACCTCCACATGCAGGTCACATGTGCAAGGTAAGTGTTAGAGACTTGTCCCACATTATTTTTGTAAGTCACCGAAGGTTGGTCTATGTAGTCTAGAAGCTCCTCCACCTATTGCCAATTGGTTTTGGGTTGAATGCATCGATAATTCAAACATTGTAATAGAGTTGGGTCTTGGGTGGTCTCTTGAGGCAAGTCTTCACTTCAGGTCTATTTCTCTCTCTCTCTGTCTCTCTCCGCATGAGACTGGGCTGCTTGTGCAGGGCGAGTGTTGAAGACTTGTACCACATTGAGTGAAACTTAATGTCAGTTGTTTTGTGTCAGTTGTTCAAACTCCACTGTCTGCTTGATGATTATAATATTTGCACATGTTTTACCCATGAAATTGAGTGTAGCCATACGTGACAGACCGTGTTGGGTAGAAATAATAAACTTGCCTCTCTAACAACTTCAGCCTTTAGATTAGTTGGTGCTCGACAAGTCAACATGATCAAATCTTAAACATTGGTTTCATGGTGCATTTTAATATTGGCTAGATTTTTTGTTATATTTAAGTTTCATTTGTATGTATTTTCTCGGTGACTCCCTATCTGATATATTACTGCCTCATAGGTTGTGGAGCTTGATTTTCTTTATCCGAGTGAGGGGATCCACAAACGTTGGGATAATGGTTATCGTATTACATCAACAGCTGCTACTTGTGATCAAGCTGCTCTTATCTTGAGTGTGCCCAGGCGCAAACCCACAGATGAAACTCAGGAGACTTTGCGTACATCTCAATTTCCAAGCACACATGTTAAGGTAAAAATGTTGTAGGCTTTATGACTTGTGGGAATTGTTGATCTCATGAAGTGTATTCATTTTAAAAAATTCGAAGGGAATTGATTTGTAGAGTAGTATGATCACGAAAAAGAAGTATCGAATTCCATGTCCATAGAAGAAATGGGAAAACACTCAGCTAGTCTTGGAGGCTTGAATCTTGTCACCCAATGAATAAAGTAAGAATGTAATGAAAGATTGTTGAGGACAAAAAATTTGACCCCCCAAAAAAAAGGAAGGATAAATATACTCATTTAACCTTGATAGCAACTTAGTCTTGTAGAACTTGAATATCATGTTGTGTAATTCTACGTTAGTATGCTGATTGTTTGTATTATGAACTTATATTTTTAATATTAAATATACTTCATTATTTGTTTTCTTAACAAATAGAAAGTTATCCATAAGTACGATCAGTAAAGTAAAGAAAATTAAATACATGCAACAAACTATAGACGGCGACTTAAAGCTAGTGTAAAAATTAGTACATATATTAGATCATATTTGCCTCAAATTTAAATCTTTATGAGAAAACCAGTACTTTAGGCTCCTATGATTTGTGAATATCTCATGTCTCTCCATATAGGTAATGCCTCTAGATTTTTAGTGCAAATGTCACTACAGCCAACTCTTAAGTCATGGATAGGTTAATTTTGCTTGTAAGGCTTGAGTTGCCATGAAGCATAAGCTATTACCTACACATGATGTGTAAGAAAAATTGATAGAGAGAGAGAGAGCAAGTGAATAAATTGATGTATTATTGATTAATTGATATTGATATCTATTACAATGATTCATGATTCCTATATATAGAAGAGGGTGAGTGTGTAGTAACATCACTATACACAATAAATCCCCCATTGCCTGATGGAACAGTAAGAATTGGGGCAGTCACTAACCTATTTTCAATTCCTAAAAGTTGTCAGTCATTAGGCCACTCGATTAACTTGACCTTCTTTTTTGTCAATCTAGTTACCAAAGTATTCTCTTTTGAGAATCATTTAATAAATGTCCTATAGTGTCCAATGAGGCCCAAAAAGCACTAGAGCTCCTCATGAAGACACACTAGGGCGAATAAAGCCCTTATCAAGCAATACTGGCAATTGAGTCTTTAACTCCTTTAGTTCAACTAACACTAATCGGGTTAGGTCGGGTGGCATCTCTTCCCATATCCGTCCAAAATTGGGCGGATTAAAAAAAATCAATCCGCATCCATCTACCGGTTTGGCGGATGTAGATTGAGTGGGCCGTGCGAATTGGCGGATAGATGCGATCGGTTTAGCATTTTGGACTTTACAAAATTGAGTATTTTTTTGAATTATAATTCATAACTTTTACAATCTCCAATAACTAGTAATCTAAAAAAATATGTATTATTTGTCTATAATAGGCCATGGCACCACATATGTATATTTTTAAGGTATTGTTTTCCATTTTCATAAAAATATGTATTTTATTATTTCTACTTTATGTTGTTACTTGTTAGTAGTTTCTTTTCTTCTTTTTTTTGAACTTCATCTATGGGCGGATCGGGTTCATGCGGGTGCAAGATGGTTGATCCGCTCCAAAATCAATCAGGTTTGGTCGGGTTGGACGGATTGGATGGATCCATCCCTAAGTGACACCATTTGGTATGGAGTTTTAGAAATAGGGCCAACACAAGAGGTGAGATCAATGGAAAATTCGATATCCCTATCGGGCGAGGAAGTCCTCGAAGCTCTAACCAAACCAAATCAAACCAAACTAAACCAAACTAAGTCTTAAGTCTCATCAAATGAGGTCAGCTACATGAATCTTTCTTCTCTACTCAACTCTAGCAATGGCCATTTGGTTAGTCAAATTAAGGACATTCATGTCTCTATTTACTACACTAGCTCCGTCAATCTAGGTCTGTTGTCCCTTTCCCTAACACATTCATCTATCGTCATTATATCACATCTTTTCACTCGTCTCTATTGGCCTCCGTTGTATATAATCAAATCATCTCAATCTATTCTCTCTCTACCTCTGTTATCAGAATCTTACGATTTGCGATTCGATTCGTAATTTTTGCAAAATTGATACAAATCTATCGGTGAATCTATTTTGGAAGTGAATCTCTAGTGAATCGCACGATTCACAATCGATTCACGATTTGATTTACTTTTTATGATTCATGCAATTTTTAAAATTATTGCGTATTTTCGACTTTTTTTTCTCCTTAGTGAAAATGATATAATATAACTTCTAATAGCATTTAATATCAAGATAACCAATATATATACATGATTTATTGTTATTTTAGTGATCATGGAGTTTTTAATAGAATCCAATCAGATTCCGTCAAATCCAACATATTTTTAACTTTCTTCTCATTTTTTGCCTCTAAAAAACATAATATATCTTCTAAAGATATTTAAGATTAAAGTTACACTATGAATTATCTATTGCTATTTTATTAAATTGAATATAATTGAATATTACATGTGTGAAGTCAGTTATACCTTTTAAAATGTTTTAGGCTTTAAAATAAAAGATTCTAAATAATTCTTTTTTATTATTTGCTCACTGTTACTTAGAAAAGTATGTATGCTTATTATCTAAATATCAATATCATTGTTAATTATTGTTACCTTGAAAATTCATAATTTGTCTATTTGGTTATTATCTTTATTAAGAATGGTTGATAAGAAATATCTTAAAAAGAAAAAAGGTAAAATAGTGATCTTACATAGTAACATTTGTTAACTTCTTACCTATTAAACTACGTGATTATCATTCAAAATAACATTTTCATTGATTTAAGTCTAATTATTTCATATTCATTAGCTATATTTAACATCTATGTAGAAATTTAATGTATAAAGAGAAATAGAGAATTGTATTATTGATTGATTGATTTATTGAATGTTACAATGATTCCTATATATAGAAGAGTAGGTGGTAGGTGGAGTAGGTGAAGTGGAGGTGGTAGTGGTGTAGTGGGTTAGGTTTAGTGGAGTAGGTGAGGTGGTAGTGGTGTAGTGGGTTAGGTTTAGTGGGTGAAGTAGGTGATGTGGAGTAGGTGAAGTGGGTGAAGTAGGTGATAGGTTTTAACAGCCCCCCGCAAACTCAAGGGGGATAGGAACTAACCAACTTGAGTTTGGAGAGAATAACAAAACAAGAAAATACATAAAAATAAAAGAGGATAGGAGACACTGTATGGTCGTGTCAGACCGTTGGTGAAGACACTGGATGGTTGTGTCATAACGTTGTAGAGAACACGGGATGGTTGTGTCATAACGTTGTAGAGGACACTGGATGGTTGTGGCAGACCGTTGTAGCAGATAAAGTCTGGACAGTTTACGAGGTCATGCTGGACCGATGTAGAAGTTGACCGGGAGCAATGTCGGGACAGTTTATGGGGTCATGTCGGACCGATGTAGAAGACAGTTTATGGGGTCATGTCGGACCGGTGTAGAAGACAGTTTATGGGGTCATGTCGGACCGATGTAGAAGACAGTTTATGGGGTCATGTCGGACCGATGTAGAAGACAGTTTATGGGGTCATGTCGGACCGATGTAGAAGACAGTTTATGGGGTCATGTCGGACCGATGTAGAAGACAGTTTATGGGGTCATGTCGGACCGGTGTAGAAGACATTTTAGAAAGAAATTTTCAAATCAAGGGTTGGGCACCCTCCTAGTGCCAGATCAACTGTAAAGGCAAAGAGGCCACTACTTTAGGCCTCAACAGTAGAAAAGCCTCCAATTTTTAGTATTACATGTTTTGCATATTCACCATAAGTAAAAACTCAAAGGCTACAGGTTCAAAAAAAATTAAAATAAAAAATCGAAGGGCAATGTTAAAGTGATCATAATTAGATATAAATTTTAAAATTTAGGTAAGATCTAATGTATATGGCGTTAATCACATTATTAAGTTTATCTCTTATTTAGAAAACACAAACACCAATATTTTATAGGCTCATCAAATGATGTGATTAGTATTATATTAGGTGTTAAATGTACACAAATGTGATATGTAAATGTAATTACCATCATTATAAAATAAAAAAGAGGCTCAAGTGAAAATAACATTTCATTGAGCGAACTAACACCAAAAAAGGACCATCTTTTATGGGCATTGTGCATTTCATCTGGTTTCTTCCTTGCGAAACGACATTGTTTATGTCTTCGAATGGTTGAGTTTTGATATTTGCCAAGTTTTGTGTTGAGCTTAGCAATTACACATTTTAAGTCAAAAGTTTGTTGAAAATAAAAATAATTTTTTTTGCATGAAATTTAATAAAAATAATAAAAGGTGGTAGTGGTGTAGTGGGTTAGGTTTAGTGGAGTAGGTGAGGTGGTAGTGGTGTAGTGGGTTAAGTTTAGTGGGTGAAGTAGGTGATGTGGAGTAGGTGAAGTGGGTGAAGTAGGTGATAGGTTTTAACAATCTAAATGTGTAGATATATGTTTTTAAGTAATTTTAAAAAAGTGACCGAATCTTTACGATTCACGATTCACAATTCGATTTGATTTGTGATTTGCTATGAAGCACGGACACGTCGCTGGAGGCAGCGTATGGGTGTCGGACACGGACACGCGTCGGACACGCGGTAGACACGTGTCCGACACTCGACCTAACATGTCCCTATTTTTTTTTTGAAGCAGGTGGACACTCTTTTGAACACGCTTGACACGTCGTGGACACGTTGTAAACAGAAACCCTAACCAGAGACCTAACCCATTGAAGATGGAGAGAAAGAGAAAGAGAGAGAGAGAAAGAACCTGTCGAGGCTAAATCGAGGAAGAACCTGTTCGTCTCTGATCGTCTTCATCTCCTCTCGCTCTGTCCATCTCTCTGGTGTCGCCTCTCCCTCTCTGATCGTGTCTACCTCTCGCTCTCGCTCTTTGATCGCCTCTCGCTCTCGCCTCTCGCTTTCTTTCCCTCTTCCTTATACCGTGTCTGTCTCTCCTGCTATATTCTTTTTATTCTTTTTTTGTCTTTTTTATGCCTTTCTT